CTCTCTCTCTCTCTCTCTCTCTCTCTCTCTCTCTCTCTCTCTCTCTCTCTCTCTCTCTCTCTCTCTCTCTCTCTCTCGCTCGCTCTCTCTCTCCCTCATCTTTGTTGTCGGTGCCAATATCCTTACAAGGGTATCCACCCTGGTTTTTGCAGGTGACAAGAAAATAGGTTTGGTTTAGAGTAAGTATACCACGCGAGGACGCGAATGCGTTTGTGGTTTACGCTGATTGAATGGTTGACTATAGTGGAGAGTGTGTGGGCGCGCAGACTAAAGGCGCGTGTGATCTCTCTGCTTTTTGATGATTGTGAAAACCGGCGTTGGTCGCCGGCCAGATTTTTGTTATTGATTAAACTAGGATTAAAAAGGTTTTGTCTTTCCTTTGGCATGTTTGACTGCGACGTGTGCACGCAAAGGTGACCAAGCGATACGCCTTGGTGTGTGGTACGACGTGTGTAGTGGCCATGTCGCAGTTTAAGCTAGCCGGCGTGGACGTCAAGCGGCCTTGGGAGCAGATACAGGCTGAGGTGTGGCCTATGGGCGCTTAGGCAGCTTGCACACTACGCAGCATCGGTTTATATGGAGTCTTGCACAAGCTGGTCTTAGACTTGGGTACCCCTATGGGTTACGACATTGGACTATTACTACAGAGATACGGGGATCGAGGCTAGCAGCACAGCATCACGGAGGGAGCCAAGGGGTCGAGGGTCCCGCGGGACTATCCCTCTTGGTTTTGTCGATTAGGCCGACTGAGGGCCCAATTCGGTGGGACAGAAGGAACCTAGGTAGTTCCTTCTCTCCTTGACCCCTTTTCGAAGTTTACATCCATTTCTCTCAATTTTATTCCTATTTTTATGGCCCCGCTGTTGCCTTTGGGACCCGGTACCAGCTCTGAGACCCTCAATCTTAGCGACGGCGCAGCTTAATTATTTATAATTCTGCCATGAGAAGTTGGATGTAAGTATGCCGTAAGGGCCCCGAAAGGGGGTGGGCCATGCCTAAGCGGGGTGTGGCCAAAAGTGTTGAGGGAGGCTGCAGTTTGCGCTGCTGGCCGTATGGCCCACCTCGCCTGGCGCACACCTCGAGCTTCGTAGGAGGCCCATGCCTCCCAAATTCCAAAGAATCTTCGGAAGAAAGTCGTAGGTCGTACTTTATTTTGGAGTCCGAGTTCAAGGCGCGTGGGGGTTTTATTAACACCTTATGGCGTCCAGGTTAATGCGCACGGAGTAGTACCGACCAGTGTCATGCAAATCGTTCGCAAGTCGGGCGAAGGCCAGGCGAGAGGAAAATCTGGTGGAGGCTCACAGTGATAATGACGGGCAAATCGGTCGTCGGACTTGGGTATAGGGGCGAGAGACTAGGCGGAGTTGGTCGTTGACCGATTTTTTGTTCGGAGAGCACTTTGTAGCGGACGATGCCGACGTGCGCTTGCAGCACGATCGTGGGGTTTGTATTAACACCTTATGGCGTCCAGGTTAATGCGCACGGAGTAGTACCCACCAGTGTCGTGCAAATCCTTCGCAAGTCGGGCGAAGGCCAGGCCAGAGGAAAATCTGGTGGAGGCTCACAGTGATAATGACGGGCAAATCGGTCGTCGGACTTGGGTGTAGGGGCGAGAGACTAGGCGGAGTTGGTCATTGATCGATTTTTTGTTCGGAGAGCACTTTGTAGCGGACGATGCCGACGTGCGCTTGCAGCACGATCGTAAGGTGCACTGGGCAGAACTCTGTTCACGGCAACGTGATAGAGAAGGTGACGGAGATGAAAGGAACGAGGAGGGAGAAGTGATATCTCACCTGTTTCTTGATGTCCCAACATATAGCCAAATTCTCTACTTTATATGTATATGAATTTTATTATTTATGATTTTATTGATTCTTCTTTTTACATTCAGTACAATCATGTATCGTTATTCTTTTTATTATAGAATTTGAATTCTTTTCATTATCTTATCAGCAAAATAATTCATGTCATAATTCCAATGTCAAGATGGCCTGTTGGATCACAGTTTGGATTCAATTACTACAAAAAAGTAAGTAACATCAGTAACCATTRATTCACTCTTATTTCTTCGTAGGGTTTTTGGTACAATGGAAAGTTTTTCTCATTTCAAGGTGAGAGTTTTCAAGACATAAAGGATCTCAGAATGTATAGAAGTATGGCGGAAATGCAACTTCGTCGATTTTTAAGTGAACAAGGAAAAATCCAACTCGGCCCAGACCCAACTCTATGAAAGACATGGACTTGATCAAGTCCATGTCTTTCATAGTTGTATTTGAATATTCATTAACCATTAATATCATGAGCACTAGGTTTAATATGGATAGGATCGCTTAACCAAGAAGTACTTTCATTTGATTTGTTGTGTAATTGTAATTGTATATTGATTATATATGATTCTATTTGACGATATATGTTGTAATCATAAAAAATATTGATGATTACAACATATCTGTTTTCATTTTACTGATGAACACAATAGAGAATAAAAATATCTCCAAGAATATTGCAATAAAGAGTATATAAGAATATAATAATATATCCTATTTCATATATCCTATTTCATATATCCTATTATTATTCATATATTCTATCATATTATTGTGTTCTATATTAATATATTATGTTATATTTTAATGGTTGTTCCCAAACTTATTGACAAAAAGATACATAGAGATCATATAAAAATACATAGAAATCATAAAATACAAACACTTACTTATCCTCCGCATCCATCGCTAGCTGGGGGCCCTCCACCTCCAACACAATTTACTTCTCCATAGCCTTTATATACTGGGTAGCACAGCAATGCCGGCCGGATTAAGTGACCGGAATATCCGGCCTTATCATCTGGCATCCGTTTTATCCGGAAATCCGGATAAACCGGAAATAGGGCAAAAAAAAAACGGAAAAAAAAAAAAAAGATTGCGCCAAGGGAGGGCTACCTGAGATATGAAACTTGAAAGTTTTTGGCCATAAACAGTTTATTGGTATGATTGTTGGCTTGCTTGATTGATTGACTGATTTGTTGATTGGTTGATTGATTGGTTTCATTAATTGCTTGCTTGATTCATTGGTAGATCGTTGTCCACGGTTGTTCACGAGTGGAGACATCCACAACCACACTTACACATGGATGATTGATTTGTGATCTGCATTGTTGGAACACGGGACACACGCATTACACACACACACGCACATAACCACACACACACACACACACACACACACACACACACACACACACACACACACACACACAGTGTCACACAGGTACATACAGAGCCCGAGCCAGGTACATTGAATTCCCAAGTAAGGTCCACAAGAGCACCGAAAGGCAAAGTAAGGTTGACATGCAGCAAACACAAACTGAAAGTGTGGTTAACGACCACACACAAACATTGAGAGCCTGAGTGAGGTCCACACAAACACGCACTGAAAGCCTAAGTCAAGTACACAAAGAAACAAACTAAAAGCTGAAGCAAGGTCTACATACACACATGGGAAGCCAAAGTCTGGTCCACACACACACTCGGAGTGTAAGGTCTACACAAGCACACTGAAAGCCTAAGTCATGTTCTCATACACAACATTCTAAGCAAGTCATGAGTGCCCCTCTCTCGCTCACAAACACACACACACCTACCTCTATCTCTCTCACACACACCTACCTGTATGTCTCACAAACACACAAAACCTACCTCTATCTCTCACATACACACCTACCTCTCTCTCTTACACAAACGCGTGCACGCACACACACATGCCTCTCTCTCTCTCTCTCTCTCTCTCTCTCTCTCTCTCTCTCTCTCTCTCTCTCTCTCTCTCTCTCTCTCTCAGCAGCAGCAGTCCTCGACCATCGTGACCTCGTCAGCCTATTGGGCGTCAACAGCGTCCCCTCCAGTATCTGCGTCGTCGTCATCATCTGAGGAGTGTGACGGAGCCTCGTATTGCTCTGCTCATCATCGTCGTCGTCCTCCTAAACCTCGACGTGCCTCGTCCTGTCCGCAGCATCACGAGAACGAGTCCTCACTCCATGCATGGATATGGGTGCTGGTGACCCGCCCCCTATAGCATCGAGCGACCCCAACAGCCTCTCTGTTGCTCCAGCGGCGCCCTGTCTCCTTCTACCCGTCCTCGATCGACCCCCTGGGGGGCGCCTGCGTGGTCTACCCTGCACTGCAGGTCTCTGTGGCTGCTCTCGCCCACGTGTGTCAGGGGCCTTCCTCTTCCTCCCTCTCGTCGAAGTGTTGTCAACAATGGCAGACGACACTCGAGTAGGGAGTGGCGGAACCGCAATTGAAACGACCGGTCCACTGCACACAGGATCTGAATGACTGCGAGCCACTGGGGCCACCGATGGAACACCTCGACTGCCTTGCGAATGCTGTGTTGCTATGCTCATGGATGACGACAACCGTCCAACAGGCGTCGTGGCAGTAGGGGACGATGTACGAGGGGGAAGAGTCAAGCCGGGTCCGCGAACCACAGTACGACCATGTAAGATAGGCAGCGGAGGAGCGATATAGAATGACACAGGCCGAAGTGCAGCGGAAGTCATCCCATCTCCAGGACTCCCTCCAAGCGTCGTCGTTGTCGTCGTCGTCGCTGTGTGCGGCTCCGTGCTCTCTAATGTACGAGGGGCCCCTGCCGATGTGGGAGCAACCTCCTCGGCCGCGGAAGGGGGCTCTATGTCTGTCTCGTGGCCCCCCTCGTAACAGCTCCCTCCTGCTGCACAATACCTGTGTGTGTGGCTGTCTCCATCACACACGGGTGCCCAGTGTGATGTCCTGCCACAGGCTCCCCGATAGTAATGGGCACCTCTGAATGGAAGGGTGCAAGGGTGGTATCATCCGTGCCCGTACACACAGATGGGTCATGCCGCGCTGGGGACGACAACGATGTGGGAACACCCTCTGTCTCTTGCGCCCTGCCGTCCAACCTAGTCTGCTGCTCAGAGATGACGGTAGTGGCCTCCAACTCCTCCGCAGCGGGATCTGTCACCTGATCCTCGACAACGGGATGCGGCTCCTCTAAAACAGTGGCATGTGTCACACGCTCCTCGGTAACCGGAGCGCTCCCCTGCTCCTCAGGAACAAGAGCGCTCCCCTACTCCTCAACGGCGGGATATGGCTGTTGTGCTACACGACCCGGGACAGGGGCATCACAATGCTCCTCTCCTGTCCCAACAACATATGGCATACCAAACGATGGAGCAGCGGGGGGTGGGACTACCACCTCCGCCGTGCGTGTCTATCCTACCTCTGTGGTAGCTGCACTAGAGCCTGCCTCACTGTCGAAGGTGGTCGCACGAAAGCCCGTATCCACACGACGGTCCTGCTGAACCCCTGCACTCCCCTCATCCGGTCTGCGACACTCGTGAATGTCCTTCATCATATGAAGGGTGTGTCTGGAGCCGTGAAGGTAGCCGTCCTGGTCATCCACAATGTCAAGCCCCCCCCATCTGTCCCACACACGAGAGACGAGAGGGTCATCACGAACTACCTCTTTCCCCTTCCCTGCTGCCGCAATCTCCTCGATCATGTCCTTCCCCTCGCAGACGTCATCCGCCTGGTAAATGATGTCCTCCTCGTCCTCATCCTCGTAGTCCCGCCCTTGCAACAGTTGTGCACTAGCACGATCCCCCCCCTCCTTGCGCCGACTACGAATCTCTGCCTCCACCTCCTCAGGGATCGTCATACTGTCGTCATACACCTCCTCAGAGGCAGCGTTGACCTGCGGCTCCGGCGGATCCTCTACCATATCCTCCCAAACATCCACGAAACCCCTTCGGGGACCCGACTGAGCTCGCAGAAGCTGCATGTTCCAATGGATGAACACGAGCTTCCGCAGACTGTCACTCGAGAGTTTATTGCGCCTCTTCGAGTGAATGAAGTCGTGTGAGGCCCAATTCCTCTCGCAAGGAGAGGCAGTGGATCACATAGCGAGCACCTTGATGGCAACTTCCCGCAAACGCGGGAAGTCGCCACCATGCAGATACCACCAATACGCGGGGTGCATCCTCCCCGCGTCCGCCTTCACCTTGTCGTCCGTCCACCATTTTGGCCTGGGGCTCGCGTGGGGATCATCATGGTGGAACAAGTACAAAGCGAAACACAACTTGCCGTGCTCCTCTGACCCTGGGCCATCGACAGTGAACCTGGACAAATGATCCAGCGCACTCTGCACAACCGTGCTGCCAGTATCCGCCAACAAAGACACATCTCGTCGTCGCAGGTCCACCAGGTATGCGAGTGCGTGCGCTGGCTGCCGCATCATGCTGCAACGGTACTCCACCCTGTCCGAAATCTCTGTCTCCTCCTCAGAAAGACCAGTGTCGCTAACTCGCTGTCTGATCCTGTCCACAAACCCCCACAGGGTGGGGGGGGGAAGAACTGTCCCTATCCATGTCACGCAACAGACTATACTCCGGCTGCATGACATCCTGTACGCGGTGCGCACTCTCCCAAAACAAGTCGGACATCACAAGTTGTCGAACGAGGTGCTCATCCTGGGCGGCCTTCCCCTTCCACGGGGTGGAGCGCCATCTCACACTGCCCACAACATCCCTCAATATGCGCTCCTGATCGGTAAGGCGCTCCACCATCTGGAATGCCGACCCGAACCGTGTGTCACATGGTCGGATCAGCTCTAGCTGCCCTCGGCCCTTAAAGGAGCGATGATACGTGAGGGCCTTCTGAATGTTCTTGAAGAACATCACAACCTTGTGTGTGTTCTTCAACATAGGGCGCACCCACTGGAAGCACGTGATGTCTCGAAGGAGGACACTCAAGCAATGGGCTGCACAGGGGAGCCAAGGGATCCGAGAGATGGCGCTGTCGGGATGGTCCTGCAACCGCTGCGCAGCCACCTTATTGGCGTAAGCATTGTCAGTGCAATACGCATTGACAACGTGAACGCCAATATCTCGGATGATGTCCCGCGAGTGCCACACCAGTCTTGTCCCTCTCCGACATGTCGACGATGGTGATCAAGACTGGCCCGTCCTCGCCTGCTGCAATGAAGTTGACGACGGGCTTGTACGACCTCGTTGTAGCCCCGTCTGTCATCATGGTACACCCTGTGAGCTTCCATTTCGCCTTCTTCGGCGCAACTCTTTCCGCAATCTCGTGGTAGATCTCATCTAGGAGCCGTGTGCGCATGTTTGTGTATGAGGGTAGGACCAAAGCTGGCCCAATCGTCACCCGCATCAATGACACCATAAAGTCATGCAGCTCCTGCGTGGTCTCGAGGCGCATGAACGAGAAAGGCACCCCAGCCCTGAACAACGCTCTCGCCCACAACCTCTCGTACTGCTGCTGCAACCCCCCACTTGCCCAACTATCCAACCTCTTCTGCAGCATTCGACGATCATGGGGCACGACGATGCCCGATGGGCCAGATGTGCCCTCCGTCTTGATCCACGCCATGTCCACCCATCGCCTCGAACACTGTCGTAAAGTGCCATCCGAGCGGGTCGGCTGTCGCCCCGCCTCGAGGACTCGTATCCTCTCTCTCAGCGTACTGAGCTCATCTCTGGGTGCACACCACCAACCCGTCCCTCATTCGTCATGGGGGGACCCGCCCCTCGGCCTTGCGACTCCTCTCCGTGGTCAGCACCCCGGTCGTCTGCCATGCGTGCAGCAGGGGTGGCCGCGTCATCGGCCCTCAGCAGGTCCATCTCCAACTCCTCTTCGCGGACGTCCATGTGCTTCTCTGCCATAGCCCTCCCCACGGGGTCCGTGATGGAGACCCCGTCTCTCATTAACTTGTACAAAATCTCGCCTGTACGAAATATGCAGTGCGCAGCCGGGCGGGTGAAGTGGTCCTCTGCCTTCGTCCGCGCCCCAACCCATATGTGGTTGCACAACGTGCAACGCAACTTGTACTGCCCCTTTCCTCGCACTCCGACCTCCTGGCCCTGACGCACCCATTCCCATACCTCATGCTTCCCTTGCAGCCAGCGCTGTCGACTCTCATCGGCCTCCTGGAAAGGCGCCTTCGCGTCCGGGAGGCTGGTGAACCTCCCTCGTGATCTTGGCCAGGACATCACACAACCTCTCTCTCTCTCTCTCTCTCTCTCTATCTATCTATCTATCTATCTATCTATCTATCTATCTAGCTGTCTGACATATTCTATGTATATTTCTATCTATGTATCCATCCCACTCACTCTCTCTCCCCAAGAATGTGCGGATGTATCTCTCTCTTCATGCATATGGCACGTAATCCAGCATCTGCATTACTGCCTTCGATCATAACCTGCAAAAATAGAAAGAAAAACGGCGGGTTTGTTGGTCGTTTGATTGAATGATAGTAGGATTGATTGATTGATTGATTGATCGGTTGCTCGGATGGTCGATTCACTGGTGGGTTGGTTGATTGATCAATAGATTGTTTGATTGGTTGATTGATAGTGTAGTTGGTTGATTGATTGATTGATTGATTGATTGATTGATTGAATGAATGAAAAAAAAAAAACGAGTTTGAGGGCTGGGCAGCGGGTGAGGATGCTAGAGGCCAGTCGAATCAACTTCAACTCCATCTCCAACTCCAACTCCTCCTCGCCAGACTGGACAACGGGAGACTGGACTGGGATATTATGAGGACGCGAGGGATAGACAGAGAGAGAGGAGGATTGATTTGATTGATCCGATTGAATCAATCGATTTGATTGATCGATTGATTTGATTGATTGATTGATTGGTTGATTGATTGATTGATTGAAGAGGAGGAGGAGGAGGAGGTAAAGAGGAACACGACGATGAGTAGGAGGAGGAAGGAGAAAACGAAGAGGAGAGGAGGAGAAGAGGAGGAGGAGAAGGAGGAGGAGGAGGA